AAGGGATACAATTGGGAAGGAAGAACTCAAACTATCCCTCTTTGCAGATGACATGATTCTGTATTTAGGGGACCCAAAGAACTCTACTAAGAGACTATTGGAACTCATAGAAGAGTTTGGCAAAGTAGCAGGGTATAAAATCAATGCACAAAAATCAACAGCCTTTGTATACACAGACAATGCCATGGCTGAGGAAGAACTTCTAAGATCAATCCCATTCACAATAGCTACAAAAACAATCAAATACCTTGGAATAAACTTAACCAAGGACGTTAAAGATCTCTACGATGAAAATTACAAAACCTTAAAGAAAGAAATAGAAGAGGATACCAAGAAATGGAAAAATCTTCCATGCTCATGGATTGGAAGAATCAATATCATCAAAATGTCCATTCTCCCAAAAGCAATTTACAGATTCAATGCAATACCAATCAAGATACCGAAGACCTTCTTCTCAGATCTGGAAAAAATGGTGCTGAAATTTATATGGAGGCACAAGAGACCTCGAATAGCTAAAGCAATCTTGTACAACAAAAACAAAGCCGGAGGCATCACAATACCAGATTTCAGGACATACTACAGGGCAGTTGTAATTAAGACAGCATGGTACTGGTACAGAAACAGATGGATAGACCAATGGAACAGAATTGAAACACCAGAAATCAACCCAAACATCTACAGCCAACTTATATTTGATCAAGGATCTAAAACTAATTCCTTGAGCAAGGACAGTCTATTCAATAAATGTTGCTGGGAAAATTGGATTTCCACGTGCAGAAGCATGAAGCAAGACCCCTACCTTACACCTTACACAAAAATCCACTCAACATGGATTAAAGACCTAAATCTACGACCTGACACCATCAAGTTACTAGAGAACATTGGAGAAACCCTTCAAGATATTGGCACAGGCAAAGAGTTTCTGGAAAAGACCCGGGAGGCACAGGCAGTCAAAGCCAAAATCAACTATTGGGATTGCATCAAATTGAGAAGTTTCTGTACTGCAAAAGAAACAGTCAGGAGAGTGAAGAGACAACCGACAGAATGGGAAAACATATTTGCAAACTATGCAACAGATAAAGGTTAATAACCAGAATCTACAAAGAGATCAAGAAACTCCACAAAAACAAAACCAACAACCCACTTAAGAGATGGGCCAAGGACCTCAATAGACATTTTTCAAAAGAGGAAATCCAAATGGCCAACAGGCACATGAAAAAATGTTCAAGGTCATTAGCAATCAGGGAAATGCAAATCAAAACCACAATGAGGTTTCACCTCACCCCGGTTAGAATGGCTCACATTCAGAAATCTACCAACAACAGATGCTGGCGAGGATCTGGGGAAAAAGGGACACTAACCCACTGTTGGTGGGAATGCAAACTGGTCAAGCCACTATGGAAGTCAGTCTGGAGATTCCTCAGAAACCTGAAGATAACCCTACCGTTCGACCCAGCCATCCCACTCCTTGGAATTTACCCAAAGGAATTTAAATTGGCAAACAAAAAAGAGGTCTGCACCCTAATGTTTATTGCAGCTCAATTCACAATAGCTAAGACCTGGAACCAACCTAAATGCCCATCAACGATAGACTGGATAAAGAAATTATGGGATATGTACTCTTTAGAATACTATACCGCAGTAAGAAACAACGAAATCCAGTCATTTGCAACAAAATGGAGGAATCTGGAACACATCATGCTGAGTGAAATAAGCCAGTCCCAAAGGGACAAATACCATATGTTCTCCCTGATCGGTGACGACTGACTGAACACCAAGAGGGAAACCTGTTGGAGTGAGGTGGACACTATGGGAAACGGTGGCTTGATCAGCATAGCCCTGACTGTTAATGAACAACTTAATACATTATCCCTCTTAGTAGTTTTTTTATCTGTTCTACTTAATATGACTGGTTTAGATCTGTAATTGATGCACAGTTATTCTTAAGTGTTGAAAATTAACTGAAATGTGATCCCTGTTGAACATGGTGGTGGGAATGGGAGAGGGAAGAGATGTATAATTTGGGACATGCTCAGGCTGACTTGCCCCAAGTGGTGGAGTTGGAAGCATACCAGGGGATTCCAATTCAATCCCATCGAGGTGGCATGTACCAATGCCATCTCACTGTTCCAGGTGATCAGTTTCAGTTCACAGTTGGTCATGGTGGAGGGACTGGGAGTCAAAGGGAGCACATAGACAAGTCTAGTACCTGCTAACGCTAACCGATGGAGTAAATAAAGGGGAGAGTGATCCAACATGGGAAGTGAGATACTCAGCAGACTCATAGAATGGCAGATGTCCTAAATAGCACTCTGGCCTCAGAATCAGCCCTAAAGGCATTCGGAGCTGGCTGAAAAGCTCATGAGAGTATTTCAGGCATGGAAAGCCAAGACACTCTGGCAAAAGATCTCTGTGAGTGAGATCCCAGTGGAAAGAACAGGTCATCAAAGAAGGAGGTACCTTTCTCTGAAGGGAGGAGAGAACCTCCACTTTGACTATGACCTTGTCTAAACAAGATAAGAGTCGGAGAACTCAGAGGGCTTCCATAGCCTTGGAAACTCATGACTGGAGCATAGGGAGATTACTGATGCCATAGACAGGAGTGTCAATTGGTAAAGTCAACAACAGGAGTCACTGTGCACTTACTCCTCATGTAGGATCTCTATCCTTAATGTGCTGTACATTGAGATTTAATGCTATAACGAGTACTCAAACAATATATTTCACTTTGTGTTTCTATGGGGGTGCAAATCCTTACTTAATGCATACTAAACTGATCCTCTGTAAAAAAAAAAAAAAAAGAAATTATCAATTCCCAACTTGACTCTCACTGGGATTAAACATGACAATAGGTCTGCTCTGATTTCATCATCATTTAAAAAAAATCATCTATTATTTTTCACTTTATGTTTCTGTGTGGGAACAAACTGTTGAAATCCATACTTGATGTATACTAAGCTGATCTTCTGTATATTAAGATAATCAAAAATGAATCTTGATGTGAATGGAAGGGGAGAGGGAGTGGGAAAGGGGAGGGTTGTGGGTGGGAGGGACGGTATGGGGGGGAAGCCATTGTAATCCATAAGTCGTACTTTGGAAATTTATATGCATTAAATAAAAGTTTAAAAAAAAAAGAAATATATGAGTATCGTAAGCTGCAAAAAAAAAAATTTTTTTAACTGAAAAGTGATCCCTGTTAGGAATTTGGAAAACATTATGCTGAGTGAAATAAGCCAGTCCCAAAGGGACAAATATCATATGTTCTCCCTGATCAGTGACAACTAACTGAGCACCAAAAAGGAGACCTGTTACAGTGAAATGAACACTAGGAGAAACGGTGACTTGATCAGCCCTTGCCCTGACTGTTGATGAACAACTTAATACGTTATCCCTCTTAGTATTTTTTATGTTTGTTCTACTTAATATTTTGGTTGAATACTGTAATCAATACACAGTTATTCTTAAGTGTTGAAACTTAACTGAAAAGTGATTGCTGGTAAATATAAGAGTGGGAATAAGAGAGGGAAGAGATGTGCAATTTGGGACATGCTCAAGCTGACTTACCTCGAACGGTAGAGTTAGAAACATACCAGGGGATTCCAATTCAATCCCATCAAGGTGGCATGTACCAATGCCATCTCACTAGTCCCAGTGATCAATTTCTATTCACAATTAATCATAATGATAGGACTAAGAGCCAAAGGAATCACATAAACAAGACTAGTGTCTGCAAATATTAACTGATAGAATCAAAAAGGGAGAGAATGATCCAACATGGGAAGCGAGATACACAGCAGACCCATAGAATGGCAGATGTCCTAAATAGCACTCTGGCCTCAGAATCAGCCCTTAAGGCATGCGGATCCGGCTGAAAAGCCCATGAGAGTATTTCAGGCATGGAAAGCCAAGACACTCTGGCAAAAACAAACAAACAAACAAACAAACACCTAAATGAAAGATCTCCGTGAGTGAGATCCCAGTGGAAAGAACAGGTCATCAAAGAAGGAGCTACCTTTCTCTGAAGGGAGGAGAGAACTTCCATTCTGACTATGGCCTTGTCTAAATATGATCAGAGTCGGTGAACTCAGGGGGCTTCCATAGCCTTGGCAGCTCATGACAAGAGCCTAGGGTGATTAGTGATACCATAAACAAGAGTGTCAATTTGTTAAGTCAACAACAGGAGTCACTGTGCACTGACTCCTCATGTAGGATCTCTGTCCTTAATGTGCTGTACAGTGTGATTTAATGCTATAACTAGTACTCAAACAGTATTTTTCACTTTGTGTTTCTATGTGGGTGCAAACTGTTGAAATCTTTACTTAATATATGCTAAACTGATCTTCTGTATATAAAAAGAATTGAAAATGAATCTTGATGTGAATGGAAGGGGAGAGGGAGTGGGAAAGGGGAGGGTTGCGGGTGGGAGGGAAGGTATGGGGGGGAAGCCATTGTAATCCATATTCTGTACTTTGGAAATTTATATTCATTAAATAGAAGTTAAAAAAATGTTTTGCAGCAAAATAAACTTATCTATTAAAATTAAAAAAAAAAAGAAATGCGATGTTGATGATAATGCAAAAAAAAAAAAGATTTATTTTTATTTTACTTGAAAGGCAAAGTTAGAGAGAAGAGGGAGAGACACAGAGAGACAGAGATCTTCCATGCGCTGGTTCACTCCCCAAATGGTCTCAATAGCAGGGGCTGTTCCAGGCCAAAGCTAGGAGCCCAGAGCTTCATCTGGATCTCCCACGTGGATGCAGGGCCCAAATACTTGGAGAGTCTTCCACTGCCTTCCCAGGTGCATTAGCAGGGAGCATGATTGGAAGTGGAGCAGTTCCCAGATGGGATGCTGGCATCGTAGGCAGCGGCTTAAACCCATCCCCCCACGAGGACTCTGGCCCCATCCCAGCATGCTTTCTAATACTGGGAACAATGGTGAGCCAGAGAGTTCTTCCTTTTCAGCTGATGGACGCAGCAGGTGTGACGCTGTGCGGCCCTCCCACTTTCCTCTCTGCCTCCTTCCCTTGTTCTTAACCAGGTCCCACGTCCTGACGGAAAGCCTGACAACCTTGGCCTGTTGGTGTTGGATGAACCTTCTACAAAGCAGTCTGACCCTACAGTGCTCTCCCTGTGGCTGACGGAGAATTCCAAGCAGCACAACGTCACGGTAAGAGACTGGCCCATCCCAGGCCCCGCTGCAGAGGGCCAGCGGGGCCATTTGTACCGTGCTTCCTGTCGAAAGGAGTAGCTGTGGCTTTGGGCCAGCTCTGCTTTCGCAGACAGTTTACTCGGGACATAATCTACATATCGTGTAGTTGACCCTTTACACTGCCCCACTCATTGGTGCTTGGTGGGTTCACAGAGTTGTACAGCCATGGTCACCTTCTAATTTAGACACATTCTCATCGTTCCAAATAGAAACACCACGCACATACGGAGTCACTCCTCATTCTCTCCCCCTCCTGCCCAGACGCCGGCAACCACTTCAGCCTCTTCTGGGGCTGCCTAGTGTTTAGTTGTTTGTGTTCACCACGTTTTGTTCACTCACTCCCCACTCGTTTCCACTTTGAGCGATGCTGCGGTGACTGTCCGGGGAGCAGTTTTGCATGGGCAGGTACTGTTCATTCTCTTAGATCCCTGGGTAAGAGTGGGACTGCCGGGCCACAGGCTGTCGCTAACGTTGTCCGCAGTGGCCGCAGCGCCGTGCAGTCCCACAGCAGTAACGGAGGGTCTCGGTTTCTCCATAGCCTCACCAGCACTTGTTCTCAGCAGTCTTGTAGTTCTGGCCCTCCTGTGGGTCAGAAGTGGTGTCTCACTGTGGTCAGTCCTGCCCGTGGACTTGCCCAGAGCCTTCGCTGGGCCGTGGTTAGGCTGCCCTTTTCCTCGACTCCCTTGTATGTGGTGAGTCGCCCCGTTACAAACCAGAGCGCCGCTTCAGGACTGTCAGCCAGGGTCTCTCCTTGTTTTCCCAGCAACATGTGAAAGTAAAGAGCGTGGAAGACGCGGAAAAGAATCCCAAAGCCATTGACACGTGGATCGAGAGTATCTGCGAGTTGCACCGGTCCAAGCCTCCTGCCACTGTGCACTACACCAGGTAAGAGTGCACGCGCTGTGGCATGCCTCACCCTCGCCACCTTTGCCACCTTTGCCCCACTGCTCCCGAGAAGAGGCCCAAAGCCTGGGGACCAGTTTGGTCAGCTGCTGGCTGGGATTGCAGACAGAAGGATGCTGATTTCTCTGGTGTCATTACGGGTCAGCTTCTCTGAGCCCCAGGCCCTGGGGGAATTTGGTTGGCACAGCCTAGGTTCTCCTGCATTCCTCATGGGCCAGAGTGAGGCCCTCTCCTCCCTCTAGGCACATCCCAGTCCAGGGCCTGCTGCTGCCCTGGATCCAGCTTTCTCATCACTGTTACCTCTGTATTTCCAAGCCCATGCCCAACATCGACACCCTGATACAGGAATGGTCCCCAGAATTTGAGGAACTTTTGGGCAAGGTGAGTGGAAAGGATCAAGAAGAGATGTGGCTTTCATGCTACGGTCCAGTGTTTTGTCCCTTATTGTATTATTAACGTTTTAGAAATTGAAGTATGGGGGCTGGCGTTGTGGCTTAGCAGGTAAAGCCAGTTCCTGTTCTGGCTGCTCCACTTCCAATCCAGCTTTCTGCTAATGACCTGGGGAAAGCAGCGGAAGATGGCCCAAGTGCTTGGGCCCCTGCGACCTGTGTGGGAGACCAGGATGAAGCTCCTGGCTCCTGGCGTTGGCCTGGCCCAGCGCAGCCTCAGCCATTGTGGCCAACAGATGGAAGATCTCTCTCTGCAACTCTGACTTTCAAATAAATCATTTTTAAAAAATAAAAGAAAAATTGAAGCACACCACCCAGGCAGAAGTGTGCACATGCGGTGAGTAGTGGTGCTGCTTTAGCCACTGAGCCCGTTGTGCGCGTTAGGTCAGTGTGCAGAACGCTGCCAGCTTCCTTGGAAGGCCTCAGGCCCCCACTTCACAAGGCAGCCACCATCCTGACTTCTGATGGCATACATGAGCTTTGCCTGCAGGTGTTTTGTACTTTTTCTAAATTTCTTCAGGATTTTTGTTGTTTTTGGTTTTGTTTTTAAGGATTTATGTGTTTATATGTAAGGCAGAGTAACAGAGAGGGAAGGAAATCTTCCATCTACTGGCCCACTCCCCAGATGCCCACAACAACCAGTGCTGGCTGAAACCAGGAGCCAGGAACTCCATTCTGCTCTCCCACGTGGGTGCAGGGGCCCAAGCCCTCGGACCATCTGCTGCCTTCCCATGGATATCAGCAGGGAAGTGGCTCAGAAGTGGAGCTCAGAAGTGGAGCAGCTGAGATTTGAACCAGGGCTCCTATATGGTCTGCAGGCATTGCAGTGACAGTTTAGCTTGCTGTGCCACAATGCGAACCCCTATATTATTTCAACTTAAACACGCTTTGGTGTCTTCTTTAGCCCAGTGTTTTGGGATATTTGTCTATATTTTTCTGTGTAATTGTTCATTTGTTCTTGTTTCTATATAGCATTTTATCATTTGAATACTTAACAATTTATCCATACTATGATGGCATGTGGGAAGTTTCTAGTTTTTGGTTGTAACAATAGTGCAACTAGGACATTCGTTTTTTGTTTTTTAAGATTTATTTATTTACTTGAAAGAGTTACACACAGAGAGAAGGAGAGGCAAAGAGGCGGGGGGGGTCTTCCATCTGCTGGTTCACTTTCCAATTAGTTGCAATGGCTGTAGCTGCGCCGATCTGAAGGCAGGAGCCAGGAACTTCTTCCGGGTCTCCCATGTGGGTGCAGGGACCCAAGGGCTTGGGCCATCTTCTACTGCTTTCCCAGGTCATAGCAGAGAGCAGGATCGGAAGTGGAGCGGCCGGGACTTGAACTGGTGCCCATATGGGATGCCGGCACTGCAGGTGGCGGCTTTACCTGCTACGCCACAGCAGCAGTCCCAGGAACATTCTTTTTTTTTTTTTTTAACTTTTATTTAATGAATATAAATTTCCAAAGTACAGAATATGGATTACAATGGCTTCCCCCCCATAATGTCCCTCCAACCCGCAACCCTCCCCTTATCCACTCCCTCTCCCCTTCCATTTACATCAAGATTCATTTGCGATTCTCTTTATATACAGAAGATCAGTTTAGCATATATTAAGTACAGATTTCAACAGTTTGCTCCCACACAGAAACACAAAGTGAAAAATACTGTTTGAGTACTAGTTATAGCATTAAATCTCAATGTACAGCACACTAAGGACAAAGATCCTACATGAGGAGTAAGTGCACAATGACTCCTGTTGTTGACTTAACAAATTGACACTCTTGTTTATGGCATCAGTAATCACCCTAGGCTCTTGTCATGAGCTGCCAAGGCTATGGAAGCCCCCTGAGTTCATTGACTCTGATCATATTTAGACAAGGCCATGGTCAAAGTGGAAGTTCTCTCCTCCCTTCAGAGAAAGTACCTCCTTCTTTGATGACCCGTTCTTTCCACTGGGATCTCACTCGTGGAGATCTTTCATTTAGGTTTTTTTTCCCCCAGAGTGTCTTGGCTTTCCATGCCTGAAATACTCTCATGGGCATTTCAGCCGGATCCACATGCCTTAAGGGCTGATTATGAGGCCAGAGTGCTGTTAGGACATTTGCCATTCTATGGGTCTGCTGTGTATCTCACTTCCCATGTTGGATAATTCTCTCCCTTTTTGATTCTATCAGCTAGTATTTGCAGACGCTATTCTTGTTTATGTGATCCCTTTGGTTCTTAGTCCTATCATTACGATCAATTGTGAACAGAAATTGATCACTGAAGTCCCAAGAACATTCTAACATATCTTTTGGTGAACATATGCACTTCTTTTATTTTATTAATTTATTTATATTTTATTTTTTTATTTTTTAAAGATTTATTTATTTAGGTAGAGTTACAGAGAGGCAGAGGCAGAGGCAGAACCATCTGTTGGTTCACTCCCCAAATGCCACAATGACCGGAGCTGGGCTGATCCAAAGCCGGGAGCCTCCCCCAGGTCTCCCATGTGGGTGCAGGGCTCAAGGACTTGGGCCATCTTCCACTGCTTTCCCAGGCCATAGCAGAGAGCTGGATTGGAAGTGGAGCAGCTGGGACTAGAACCAGTGCCCATATGGGATGCTGGCACCATAGGTGGCAGCTTTACCCCCTACGCCACAGTGCTGGCCCCAATCCTTATGTTCTACTATGCTATCTATACCTCGGTGGCTTTTTTCTCCCTGCTAAAATGTAGGCTCCATGGAGACAGTTTTTAGTAGTTTCTTAAAGAAACAATGTCTTTCTTCATGACACTTTAAAAGTGTGACTAGGGGACTGGACAGCTAGATTACAGGACATCCCTCAGTGAATACTGTGCCAGGGAACCATGGCAGGGATTATTTTGGCAGTATTAACAGACAGCAGTGGTACATGGTTAAATTGGGAAAAAGCAGGTAAGCAAATTTCAGAACTGTATGCACTGTTTTTGGTGGAGACAGAAAAAGTTTTATGAAGGCTGCAGTTTTAAACTTGCCATGTGACTTGTTTTGATCCAGCGCCTGTCACCGGGGTACGACGCCATGTCCGTTTTCTCTGTCCCCATGGGGGTCTCAGGACCTTTAGGGATTACAACATCAAGTAATTCCTTGGCCATAGCCAGCCACTTCTTCACAGATCCACACAGGAAGACAACACGGCCGTCTAGTTTAGTTACCAAACCCTTTGGTCTGACGGGTCACCCGCCACTCCGGTAGTCACTGAGTGTGACCAGTCTGCCTCCCTGGGGGCAGGGGAAGCGTGTGGAATGAGTTGGCCATGGCTGCTGTGTGAAGTGCCGCAGGCCAGGAGTGCAAGGTCAAGTTGTGGGCAGGGCTGGTTCCCTGAAGCCTCTCTGCTTGGCCATTTCCCTTCTTTACGTGGCCGTCCTCAGTGTGTGTCTTCCCTGGACGCCGCTTGCGGTGAGACCACCGCTCGGACAGCACTGACGGTCTCAGGGTCACTCAGTGATCTCTCCACATACACTCACATTCTGCGGTGCAATCAACACAGAATCGGGGGGCCGGGGTGGGGGGGCACACTTCAGGCTGGGAGCCCTGGGGCTTGAGCCTTTTGACTTCTGATTGAACCCGCGCCCCATGCAGGTGAGCCTGCCCACGGCCGAGATCGACTGCAGCCTGGCGGAGTACATCGACATGATCTGTGGTGAGTGCTCTCCTGCTCCCCGCCCCTGCACAGATCCCGGCCAGGCTTTTGAAAGGCCGTGGGTGTGGGTACCGCCTCCAGTTGAGCCAGCACTCAAGGGTGATGCCTGGGTGCACGTGGCTGCTGGCTGGGGACACACGCACGTGCCTTGTCATCCCCGAGTTTGTTTGCTTCTGTTTCTAGGAAGTGTGTGTGTGTGTTTGTTTTAGCCATCCTGGACATCCCTGTCTACAAGAGCCGGATTCAGTCCCTGCACCTGCTCTTTTCCCTCTACTCGGAGTTCAAGAATTCACAGGTGGGCCAGGCATGGAGCTCACCGTGGTCCCCCTGGGCTCACTGTGGCCGTGTCCCAGGGCTCTGTCTGCAGTTCCCACTGCCCTTCTGAGAGCAGCGGGGGAGGGGGAGGGTGGGGGGGTGCGTGCCTCGGGAAGCTGGGGGAGGGTCTCTGGAGGACTGTGTTCTCACAGCAGAACCAAGGGCCTCCTGAGTGGAAGCAGGGAGGAGGTAAAAGAGGCCTCGTCTGTGAATCTGTATTTATTTTCATTGGAGAAGCCGAGCGACAGATTCACTGATGGAGATCTTCCATCTGCTGGTTCACTCCCCACATACCCACACCGGTCAGGGATGGGCCAGGCCGAAGCCAGGAACTCAGTCCCATCCAGGTCTCCCATGGCGGTGGCGGGGACCTAAGCACTTGAGCCATCATTGCTGCCCGCAGGGCTCACCAGCAGGAAGCTGGGGCTGGACTGCAGACTCCCTGATGTGGGGTGCGCATGTCCCAGACTGTGGCTGAACACTGCTGGGCCAGACGCTCAGCCCTCGAGGCGCTTCACACAGCCACCAGCAGGATGCTGTTTTGGAAGCAGAATTAGGAGACAATAGGAGCTGACGGGTTTGCGAGAGGTTGGTTCTTGCTAAAATGCAGCAATTATATGCGTACCCTAACTTCCCGCTCTGAAGAACCTTAAAAATCAAACCAAGATCGAGTGACCTAAGCCAATACCATTAAAAACAAGAAGTTACCTTTGCCCCAAATAAAATTAAAGTTTAAAAATTATAGCCCTAAACTTTTTCCCCCAAAACTAAAATTAGGTGCAGCTATAAAAATAAGGGACCCTATGCTTAGCTAGCTGCGACACTTGTGCCTGGCTGTGCTAAGACCTAACTCAGTTTGTATGCCTCCTAATACTCAAATAATGGTGTGGGAAGCGGGAAGCCGCTCTCCCACCAGGGGAACAAAGGGAGCGAGACGTCGTTCCCCTCAGGGTGAACAAGATGGTGCTGGCAGGGAAAGGAACTACTAAAGAAGTAAACAACAAAATGGTGACGAGGTGCATGCCTCCCATGTGATCCCGCAGCTGATTGCATAGAATATGCATGCCCTTCACATGATCAGCTCACGGACTGGGCTGCTGTGTGCATGGCCTCCCATGTGATCCCATAGCTGATTGGACAGAAGACGCATACCCTTCACATGATCAGATCGCGGATTGGACTGCTGTGTGCATGGACACTATAGTGCTTTTGATTGGTCACTGCAGGTATATAAACCGTGTGGCTTTGTGCTGGGGGCGCTCTCTGGACTCCCGAGTTCAGGAGGCCCATCTGCGCAGACGCCGAATAAATCCTCTTGCTTTTGCATCAGCTGGTCTGGACTCTGAGTCTTTGGGGTGTGCCTCTCGACGTGTTAGCATCCTCACTCCAAGGGTCTAACATCTCTTTCCTCACAGCATTTTAAGGCTCTCGCTAAGGGCAAGAAAGCATTCACCCCTCCATCCAACTCCACCTCCCAAGCCGGGGATGCCGAGACACCGGCCTTCAGCTGAGCCGCTTCCCGGGCAGCGAGGGCACGGCCGGCCCGCAGGCTGCCTTCCTGGGGCGGTGCGCAGCTTCACCGCTGCGGAGACGGGACGAGAAGAACTGGAATTTGCTGAGGGATCCGTGGAGCTCGGGCTGGGAGGAAAGCTTAAAAAGAGATTTTGTCTGGGATAGGAATGCAATTACCTTCAAGTTCATTGACAAAGATGTTCTAAATAAAATACCCTACCTGTTGTTGTTTCCTGCTTTTCTTTGAAATGAAAGAGAAAAGGCTGTTGGAGCAGAAGGCGGAGGCAAAGAAGGTGGCCTGGTAATAATGAGGTCACGTGCAGGCAGTGTGATCAACCAGCTTTGCCCACGGAGGCCACCCCAGAGCGGGCGTGGAGGGACCCGTTTTGCTCGGGGTCCCTGTCCAGAGAATGCCGGCCTCCGGCAGGCCCCGTCTGGCTGTGCGCTCCCCGCCTCGCTGTTGCAGGAATCCAGGCAGGTGGCTGTGGCTGGGGTCAGGGCGGAAGTTGGAGAGACCGACGGATTTGGGGGATGTTTTGGAGTTAAAGCAAACTCTGGTCAGGAAACCTGAAACTGCACTGCTTCTTTAATTTTTTTTTAAGTTTATTTATTTGAAAAGTACAGTTACAGAGAGAGGGAGGGAGGGAGAGCTTAGGGACTGAACCGACCCCCATCTGGGTGCCAGCGTCACAGGCAGTGGCTGTACCTGCCCCACCACAGTGCCGGCCCTGGTGACTCCAGGTTCTCCCTGCTCTGAAGCACATCCCAAACCCTGCGAGGGGTGACCTGGGGATTACACGAAGTGTTACGTGGCTGAATCCACACCCAGAGACTGCGAATAGCGCAGGTGAGCTGCACTTCCTGTCTGAGCTCCTGGCTGTGCCTGGGCTTTTGAGTATCCCTTCTGCTCTCCACCCTGGCCCGAGCCACTGCTTCCAGTCTCCGCTGTCCCCCATCTCCAGCTGCTCCCTCCTGGCTGCCTGCCCTGCGCCCTGGGAGAGGTCAGTTACCTTCTCTGCCTCCTTAACCCAGCTGTCAAACAGAATGAACACCAGCTCACCTCTTCGGCTCTTCCGAGGGTAACAGATACGTGAGAAGATGAAGTGCCACCAAGCGTAAATCTGCAGCTTGGCTCTTTAGATTTTCCACTTGGCTGCTCTGTCTCCACCCCAAGACCCTCACGTCCACAGTTCCCAGATGTGGACCGCAAAACCCAGCTGCTTGCCACACTCCAAACAGGGCTTGGGAGTTCTCTTCTGACTCAGCCTTTATGGAGGCTGTTTTTCGTGTTGGAAATGTCCCTCCCCGTCTCTGCTGATCCGAGGTCCTTAACACTTCTACGACAAAAGTCAAGCCCAAGTAGTTACATCTTTACGCCTTCCTTTAATCTTACTAAAAAAAAAATGACACGTAAGAGTTTTAATTTTTTGAAAGGCAGAGTAACAGAGAAGGAGAGTTTGAGAAGGAGCTGTCCCGGGGCTGGCACTGTGGCATACACCACCTGCGACGCTGGCATCCCACATGGGCACCAGTTCAAGTCCCGGCTGCTCCACTTCCGATCCAGCTCCCTGCTAATGTGCCTGGGAAAGCAGTGTAAAACAGCCCAAGCGCTTGGGCCCCTGCATCTATGTGGGAGACCTGGAAGAGGCTCCTGGCTTCGGCCTGGCCCATGGCTGGCTGCTGTGGCCATCTGAGGAGTGAACTAGAGGATGAAGGGTCTCTACCTCTATCTCTGTGACTCTTTTGAGAATAAATAAATATTTTTTAAAAGATAGAGAACGCTTTTTCATCTGCTGGTTTATTCCCCAAGTGACTGCAACAGCCAGGGCTGGGTCAGGCCAAAGCCAGGGACATGGAACTTGGCTAAAGTCTCCCAAGTGGGTGGCAGGGATCCAAGCACTTGGGCCATCCTCTGCTGCTTTTCCAGGCACGTTAGCAGGGAAGTGGATTGGAATCAGAGCAGCTGGGACTTGAACTGGCACTCAGATATTAAATGCCAACATTTAAGCAGCAGCTTAACCTGCTGTGCCATTATGCCTGTCTCAAGAATTTTGTTTTAAAAAAACCATAAACCAGTTAGGACAGATGACAGAAGAAAATGACCACCGACTATATAAGCAACATAATTTTGGAATGTGGACAAGAGTAACTGATTTGGGTGGGCAGGGTGGGGAGGCAGAGAAGAACTCTGAAACCGTGGAGGAGAGAGCCCAGAACGGAAGCTGTTGGACACTGGAACCCTAGAAAGTGCCAGGAATGGAAAGTGCCAGGCGTTTCTGATGGCAGGTGTGCCGTGTGCGGCTGAGAGCAGGCCTGGTGAAGGGCTGTGGACGGAGTGGGGTCCCAGAAACTTCCCCACCTACCTCCTTGCCCCAGCAGAAGATGGACAGCTCTGACCGCGGAGGCTCAGGGCAGGAGCACCTCTGAGGACAGAAGGAAGGGGCCGTATTTAAAATAAGGATTGTGGGGCCAGCGCTGTGCAGTAGGCTGATGCTCCGCCCGCGGCGACGGCGTCCCACGTGGGCGCGGGTTGATGGAACAGAGCCGAGCGGTGGGTGCGTGGGTGCTCGCTATTTATTTTCTCCACTGTGTGATTCAGAGATTTCATTTAGAAGGCATTTGAAGAAATGAAGCAAAGACATGGAACTCCATTCAGTCAAGTTTATTGAATTTACTTTGTGCTTCGCACTGTGCTAGGCAGTAACATGAGAAAAATTATAAAATAAGACCTCAACAGGGGAGAAACACACTGCACCTGGTGCTCTCCTTGTCTCTCCCTCTCTCTTTAACTCTACCACTCAAATAAAATATTAAAAAAGGAAAATCATTACTTCATATTTTCTAATGAGGATTTTTTTTTCTTTCTTTTTACAAAAACAGAGGGGCCTGTGTTATTGTGTAGTGGCTAAAGCCTCCATCTGCAATGCTGACATCTCATATGGTCGTTGGTTTCTGTCTTGGCTGCTCCACTTCTGATCCAGCTCCCTGCTAATGGCTTATAAAAAGCAGCTGAAGATTGCCCAAGTACTTGGGTCCCTGCTACCCATGTGGGAGACCCAGAAGAAGCTCCTGGCTCTTGGCTTCAGTCTGTCCAGCTCCAGCCTTTGAGGCCATCTGGGGAGTGAACCAACTTATGGCCACAAGGACAGGGGCTGGGCCAGGCCAAAGCCAGGAGCTTTTTCCGGGTCTTCTGTGTGCATGCAGGACCCCAAGGACCTGGGCCATCTTCTACTGCTGGCATCCCATATAGGTGCTGGTTTGAATCCTGGCTGCTCCACTTCTCATCCAGCTCTCTGCTAATGCATCAGAGGATAGCCCAAGGACTCCTGAACCCATGTGGGAGACTAGAAGAAGCTCCTGGCTTTGGATAGTTTCACTCTCTCTCTGTGTCCTTCACTATCTCTCTATAACTCTACCTTTCAAATAAATTAAAAAAAAAAATCTTTAAAAAAAAAAAAAAGTGGAGCCAAACAGCAAACTCAGTTACTCAAACATGTGATGTAGGTGTCTTCACTGCTAGACCAAATGCCTGCCCTTCTTTCTTAAATTTATGTTTATGAAAGGCAAGTAACAGAACTCTCTTTCATCTACTGGTTTACTCCCCAAATGGCCATTATGATCAGAGCTGGGCTAGGCCAAAGCCAGGAGTTCCATCTGAGTGTCCTACATGGGTGGCAGGGGTCCACGTATTTGGGCTATCTTCTACTGTTTTCTAGGCACTTTAGCAGGGAGTCAGATCAGAAGCAGATCAGCTGGGGTTTGAACCAGTACTCTGATACAGGATGCCAGTGTCACAGGCAGTGGCTTAACCTGCAGCACAAGAGCGGCCCCAAATGCTGCATTCCTAATGAGTTTTTTTTTTAATTTTATTTTTAAGATTTATTTATTTATTTGAAAGTCAAAGTTACACAGAGAGAGAAGCAGAGGCAGAGGCAGAGAGAGAGAGAGAGAGAGAGAGGTCTTCCATCTGCCGGTTCACTCTCCAATTAGCCACAACGACTGGAGCTGCACTGATATGAAGCCAGGAGCCAGGAGCCTCCTCTGAGTCAAACCACGTGGGTGCAGGGGCCCAAGGCCTTGGGCCATCTTCTACTACTTTTCCAGGCCATGGCAGAGAGCTGGATTGGAAGTGGAGCAGCTGGGACTCAAACTAGCACCCATATGGGATGCCGGCACTGAGGTGGTGGCTTTACCCACTACACCACTGTGCTGGCCCCTCTAATGAGGTTTTGAGAGAGCAATTGTGTTATCTTAATCTTTGAATGTTCCCAAACAGAAAAAATGTACCCGTTTCTATCTAATGTCATAAGTTTGATAAATGGGTCCCAATACTGATGGTGTCATGCCACTAACAGAGAGAGAACTGTTCTTTGGAATCCTCTAATAGCTTCCAATAGCTTCCTCTGAAGCTATAACTTCCAAGCTGCCGCCTGCAGTGCTGGCATCCCATATGGACACTGGTTCGAGTCCCGGCTGCTCTACTTCCGATCCAGCTCTCTGCTATGGCCCGGGAAAGCAGTAGAAGATGGCCCAAGTCCTTGGGCCCCTGAACCAGTGTGGGAGAGCCACAGGAAGCTCCTGGCTTCGGATCAGCACAGCTCTGGTAACTGCGGTCAACTGCGGATGGATGGAAGACCTCTTTCTCTCTCTCCAGCTCTCCTCTCTCTGTGTAACTCTAACTTTCAAATAAAATAAATAAATCTTTAGGGGCCGGTGCTGTGGTGCAGCGGGTTAACGCCCTGGCCTGAAGTGCCAGCATCCCATATGGGCACCAGTTCGAGACCTGGCTGCTCCACTTCCAATCCAGTTCTCTGCTATGACCTGGGAAAGCAGTGGAAGATGGCCCAAGTGCTTGGGCCCCTGCACCCACGTGGGAGACCTGGAAGAAGCTCCTGGCTCCAAGATTAGCGCAGCTCCAGCTGTCACGGCTATCTGGTGAGTGAACCAGCGGATGGAAGACCACCCCCCTCTCTTTCTAACTCTGACTTTCAAATAAATAAATAAATCTTAAAATAAATAAATCTTTAAAAAAAAAGGAGGAGGGGGGACGTAAGACTGGCATTGTGATGCAGCAAGTTAAGCTGCTGCCTACAACACCTGATCCCATTTGGGCACCTGTCCAAGTCCCAGCTGTTCCACTTCCTATCCAGCTCCCTGTTAATGCACCTGGGATAGCAACAGAAGATGGTCCAAGTCCTTGGGCCCCTGCCATCCATAGGGGAGACCTGGATGAAGCTTGTGGTTCCTGGATTTGGCCTGGCCCAGCCCCAGCTGTTTGCCCATTTGGGCAGTGATCAGCAGAGAGAAAATCTCTTTGTCTCTCCTTCTCTAACTCTGCCTGTCAAATAAATAAATAAATCTTCATTCTTTAAAAAAAAAAGATTTATATATTAATTTGACAGGCAGAGTTACACAGAGAGAGAAAGAGATACAGAAAGAAACATCTTCTATCCTCTGGTTCACTCCCTAAATGGCCACAATGGCTGGAGCTGGGCCAGGTAAAAGCCAGGAGCCAGGAGCTTCTTCTGTGTCTCCCACATGGGTGCAGAGACCCAAGCAGTTGGGCTATCTTTCACTGCCTTCCCAGGCGCATTAGCAGGGAGCTGGACTGGAAGTGGAACAGCCAGTACTCAACTGGCACTGATATGGATACTGGCACTACAGGCAATGAATGGCTTTAACCCACTGTGCACAGTGCTGGCCCCAATAAATAAATCTTTAAAAAAAAAAAAAAAGAGGGGAAGACAGTAACAAAAAATGGGTTCCAGTAACACAATTCCAAAAACTGGAGGAACAGAGGCAGGTGTTTGGCGCAGCAGTTACAACACTGATAGTATGCCCGCATCCCATATCAGATGGCTGCCTGAGTTTGAGACCTGACTCCGTTCCCAATTCCAGCTTCCTGCTAAAGCACACTGTGGATGGCATGATGGCTTACACAGCTGGATCCCTGCTACTCATATGGGAGACCCAAACTGAATTCCAGGTTTCTGAGTTTGGTCTAGCCCAGCCCTGGTTGTTGTAGGTATTTGGAGAATACACCAGCAGATGGGAGATTTCTTTTTTTCTGCCTTTCAAATAAATTAAAATGAGAAAAAAAACCTAGAGGAATACTGAGTTAAAAATTATCTAAAGGAACAGTTCACACATTTACTTCATGCTTGCCCACCTGAACGGCAGCGTCTATGACAGAACCAGCTCATGGTTATTTGAAATAATGAAGGGAACTGTGACGTAATTGATATAATTAATTGAACATATCGCTTCTACTTACTTATATTTACCTTTTATAATAATTCACCTTCTAAATAAAAAACTTTTGTTCATTTCTTGTGAACAAACCAAGTGTTTTGGCAAAAGAATTTTAAAATATCAGAAGTTGTGGCCACGCTGTTATGCAGCAGGTTAAGCCACTGTTTGTAGCACTGGCATCCCAAATGGGTGCCAGTTTGAGTCCCAGCTGTTCCACTTCCAATTCAGCTCCCTGCTAGTAGCCTGGGAGAGCAGTGGAGGATGGCCCAAGTCCTTGGCCCCCTGCCCACTTGGGAGACCTGGAAGAAGCTCCTGGCTCTCCTGGTTTCAGCCTGGCCCAGCCCCAACTATTGCAGCCATTTGGGGAGTGAATCAGTGGATGGAAGATCTGTCTCTCCTCTCTCTGTGTAGCTCTTTCAAATAAATAAATCTTTAAAAAAAAAAAAAAAGAAAAGGTTAAAAAAAATAGGCAACTGGGGCTGGTATTTGTGGCAGTGGGTTCAGCTGTTACCTGCAATGCCAGCATCCCAAATGAGTACCATTTTGAGTCTGATCCAGCTCCCTGTTAAGCACCTGGGAAAGTAGCAAAAGCTGGTCCAAGTCCTTGACCCCCTAACTCCATGTGGCAACCAGGAGTTCAAGGCTCCTAGCTTCAGCCTGGCCCAGCCTGGGCTATTGTGGGCATTTGAAAAGTGAACCAGTGAATGGAAGATCTCTTTTTTTTTCTTTAATTTTTTTAAAAATTTATTTGACAGAGACAGTGAGAGAGAGACAGAGATAAAGGTCTTCCTTCTGTTGGTTCACCCCCACAAATGGCTTCTACGGCCAGCGCGCTGCGCCGATCCGAAGCCAGGAGCCAGGTGCTTCCTCCTGGTCTCCCACGCGGGTGCAGGGCCCAAGCACTTGGACCATCCTCCACTGCTTTCCTGGGCCACAGCAGAGAGCTGGACTGGAAGAGGAGCAACTGGGACTAGAACCCGGCACCCACATGGGATGCCGGTGCCACAGGCAGAGGATTAACCAAGTGAGCCACGGTGCCAGCCCAAGATCTCTCCTTAGTAACTCTGCCTTTCAAATAAATAAAATAAATCTTGAACATTATATAATCCATAAGTACTTTTATACATATGCAGATTGAATTCTTTGAGAGGAAAACTGAGGTAAGCAGGGAATTGAACACGATCATACAAGTCAGAAACAGCATACGCTGGGGATATATGCATATGAATTTTGTACTGCTAAGCCATGCTATCTATCCAGCATCTACCTTAGTGCTTTCCCCATATATGCACTCTATTAAAATGGGTTACCTGTATATTGCAGTAATTTTTTTTGGAGATGAAGGAAACTTGAACAGGGAAGAAGTCATTGGGCTGTCCAGCAATGCTAAACTCCAGGCTGCCACTCTTATTTTTGGCATCAATCACTGGCAGACACCACTCCAAGGTATTTCGTCGACTGTCATGTCAGTATTCCCCATCGATCTCACCAATCACAGGTGCACCAACACCAGACCTGTCACAAGAAACATCGAGTTAACCGTCCGGAGCTAGAACTCCACACCAAGGAAAATCAATCCCAAATTTGATTATGCTCCTGAAATTCTGTCCTCTGGAACTGCAATTTTTGTGCAGTTCTAGAAAAAAATAGGCTTCCTAATAACTTCAAAGATCAAAGACCTGGCACTTTGACTAAGGGTTCCACTCAATTCCCTTTGTAGACAGCAGATACAGGCAAACACAGGTACTTAGCAGGTATGCTTGTGGGTTGTTCCAATTTAGACTAGATCTGGGAGCTGGCAGGGGACTGAGGTTGACAAATGTGTGAACTGGGGTATATTTCCAAAAACCCTGCATTAACAGTTTGCCGCCTTTTTAAGAAATTCAGTTCATTTCATAAAGACGGTTGAAGAAAAAGCAGGTTGATAATATTAAGGGAAAACTTAAGTACCAATAAAGATCAATTTATGTCTTTAAGAGGATGTGTTTTCAAAAGATTTTAAAATGTTTTCAAACTGACTGAATGAAGTCCACGCCAGTGGGCTTATGTGATTTACAATCTAGTAAGTGGACTGCAGTAAATGAAAGCACAATTAATTACCCCTGGGCAAAATAGAAACATGTCGGGAGAGAGATACATAAGTTGTCCTCAATCTGCAAGAGAACCAGGGCTAGTTAAGATGTACTTTGCACCCCCACGTGGGGCTGAGAGGCAGTGTCACCTACTCCTACACATTCTAAATTTACCAACTTTTAATTCACTAGCGACACTCAATGCTTGTTTAGGGGCAGAGTAAATAAGGGAGACAAAACGTTAAGGTTGGCATAAGAATATTAACTCTTCCTTACAGATTTTAATGTCCTTTTTTTTTTATGGTCCTTTCTGTCCTTGCTCAAATTTCTCATTCTGATACGTCAGTCTTAGACAACAGTAAACGTCTTACAGTCTCTTCTGGTGACTACTGCAAAATTGAACTAAGACACAGGAAACCACCATAACCACAATTATGGGGTAGATGGAGAAGCCTAAAAATTGTGGAATCCTAAAAATAGCCTGGTAAAATAAATCTTGACAAACAAAACCCCACCTGTCACCAACACCCAAATCCTACAATAGTTCAAGGCAGCCTTCTGTTGTTCCGAAAGAACAACTGAGCTGTGCAGACTAAGATGGTTACTCCATTAAAGGAAAACTGGTGGAGCCGGTGCTGTGGCATATGTGGGTGAAGCTATTGCCTACAGCGCCAGAATTCCATATGGGCCCAGTTCAAGTCCTGGCTGCACCACTTCTGATGCAATTCCCTGCTAATACGCCTGGAAAAGCATTGGAAAAGCATTGGAAGATGCCCCCAAGTGCAAGACCCAGAAGAAGCTCCTGGCTCCTGGCTCTGGATTGGCCCAGCTCTGGCCGTTGTGGCCAGAATCCCTGAACGGCAGATATCTCTCTCTGTGTGTAACTCTGCCTTTCACACAAATAAATAAATGTGCTTATTAAAACAAAAAGGGGGCAGCGTTGTGGCACAGGAGGTTAGGCCTCTGCCTGCCAGAATCCCATATGGGCACCAGTTCATGTCCTGGCTGCTCTTCTTCTGATCCAGCTCTCTGCTATGGCCTAGGAAAGAGAAGATGGCACAAGTACTTGGGCCCCTGCCCTCATGTGAGAGACCCGGAGGAAGCTGTTGGCTCCTGGCTTGGGGTGGCTCAGCTCCGGCCATTGCGGCCATTTGGGGAGTGAGCCAGTGGATGGAAGACCTTTCTCTCTGTCTCTCCCTCCCTCTGTCTGTAACTCTACCTCTCAAATAAATAAAATCTTTAAAAAAAAAGAAAGGAAAACTAGTAATAAAGCACATTTTTAAAAACAGAAGTAACAGTGACTAAAACCAGATCTGACAATGTAAAGCCTTGAATTATTAAAAAGGGAAGAAAGGGGCAGACATCTTGTACAGCAGGTCAAGCCACTGCTTGGGACACCCACATCTCATGAAGTTCTTGGGATCCAGTCTCAGATACTCTGCTTCAATCCAGTCTCCTGCTATTACCCCTGGGAGACAGCAGAAGATGGCGCAAGTACTTGGGCCCCTGCCATTCATGTGGGAGACCCGGATGGAGTTGTTGGTTCCTGGCTTGAGCCTGGCCCAGCTGTGGCTATTGCGGGCATTTGGGGAGTGAACCTATAGATGGAAGGTCTGTCCCTCACTCTTAGTCACTCTGCTTTCAGATTAATTATTTTTGAAATTTAAGGGTCCAGCGTTGTGGCATGGTGGGGTAAGTCACTGCTTACAATACCAGCGTCCTTTATCACAGTGCCAGTCTGAGTCCTGGCTACTCTGCTTCCAATCCAATATCATGCTAATGCACCTGGGAAGATAGTGGAAGATGACCCAGGTACCTGGCCTCCTGCCAGCTCACAAGGGAGATCTGGAAGAGTTCCAGGTTCCTGGCTTCCTTTGTGGCCATTTGGGAGTGAACCAGTGGATGGAAATCTCTTTCTCTGTTTTTTCCTCTCTGTCATTCTGCTTTTCAAATAATGAAATCTTTCATTTTTTAATTTTTATAGAGAGGGAGGGACATAGAGAGATATTCTCTATCTGCTAGTTCACTTCCCAAATGGCTGCAATGGTTGAGGCTCAGCCAGGCCGAAACCAGGAACCAGAAGCTTCTTCTGGATCTCTCACGTGGGCAGGGGGCCAAGGACACGGGCCATCCTACACTGCTCTCCCAGGCCACTAGCAGGGAGCTAGATTGGAACTGGAGCAGCTGGGACTCAAACTGGTGCCCATATAGGATGCTGGCACTGCAGATGGCATCTTAACCCCCTGTGCCACAGTGCATGCCCTCAAATAATCAAATCCCGTTTTAAAAAAATATTTTATGTATTTATTTATTTTTAAAAACTTATTTATTTGAAAGGTAGAGTTAAAAAGAGGCGGAGGAAGAGATATAGAGAAGTCTTCCATCCACTGGTTTACTCCCCAAATGGCTGCAATGGTTGGAGCCAGCTTCTTCCGGGTCTCCCATGCAGGTACAGGGGCCCAAGCACTTGGGCCATCCTCCACTGCTTTCCCAGGCCATAGCAGAGAGCTGGATCAGAAGTGTAGCAGCCGGGTCTCGAACCCATGCCCATATGGGATGCTGGCAGTGCAAGCAGCGGCTTTACCCACTATGCCACGGTGCTGGCCCTTTATTTATTTGAGAGGCAGAGTTACATAGACAGAGAGAGGAAGAGACAGAGAGAATGGTTTTCCATCCTCTGGTTTACTCCCTAAATGGCCACCAACAGCCAAAGCTGAGGTGACCCGAAGCCAGAAGCCAGGTGCTTCTTCCAGGTCTCCTACACGGGTTCAGGGGCCCACACACCTGGGCTATCGTATACTGCTTCCCCAGGCAATAGTAGAGAGCTGATTCGGAAAAGGAGCATCTGGACTCAAACTGATGCCCATATGGGATGTCGGTGCCATAGGTAAAGGCTTAGCCTACTATGCCACAGCACCGGCACCAAATAATTAAATCTTAAAAAAAAACTTCTTAAATTTTAAGGGAACAAAACTACAAATTAAATTATTACCCTTTTTGTTCCTGCAACATAATTTTTTTCTGCAGAACAATGTGATAGTAAAGGTGCACTAAGAGTACACTTGCAGGTACCCACAACTGCTCAATCTTGTGGGGGCTGGGAGATAATGAGTGGAGCTGGGAACTCACTGATGAACAGTGTACACTTACTGAAAACAGTTCTGAGCAGATAAACCCAAGACAGGGAGATTCCCTGTGATCCTAGACAGCAGGCCAGTTACGTGTACAACAGAACTTATGGCACTACATTTTTTAGGATGATAGACATTTTTGTTAGCATGACTGTACTGATGGTTTTACAGATCTATGTATGTCAATACTTACCAAGATACAATTTGTGTCATTTACTGTATGTCAATTATACTTCAATAAAGCTGTTAGGAAATTTACTGAAACAAATGTAAATATCTTGTTCCCATAAGAATCAACAGTTCCCTTAACCACATACGCTCATCTTTAGTGAAAGTTTACAGAATAACTAAAAAGGGAAATTCAATCTAACAGACTTCATTTCTCTGAAAGTTGCTCAACAAAATAGAGCAAGTTTGACTGACAAGTGGCTCCTCCTTCTGGACATCTTCATTACTACACAAACATGCTGAGGACCACAATCTGAAAACAGAGATGCAGAACTTACAATAGGCTTTTTGGGGCCAGCGCCACTGCTCACTAGGCTAATCCTCTGCCTTGCAGCACCGGCACACCGGGTTCTAGTCCCGGTCAGGGCGCCGGATTCTGTCCCGGTTGCCCCTCTTCCAGGCCAGCTCTCTGCTGTGGCCCGGGAGTGCAGTGGAGGATAGCCCAAGTGCTTGGGCCCTGCACCCGCATGGGAGACCAGGAGAAGCACCTGGCTCCTGCCTTTGGATCAGCGCGGTGCACCGGCCACAGCGCGCCAGCCACGGTGGCCACTGGAGGGTGAACCAACGGCAAAAGGAAGACTTTTCTCTCTGTCTCTCTCTCTCACTGTCCACTCTGCCTGTTTAAAAAAAAAAAATAGGCTTTTTGGTTTGGCTTGAAAGTCAATAAAAACTTACCCTTTCCAAAGTGTACAGCCCAATGCATTTTCACTAGGGTGTGCAGTCTTGCAGACATTATCAAAATCAAGTCATAAAACATTTCCATCATCCCTGCGTCCTGTGGCAATCAAGTACCTTCCTCTCTACCACCTGACTTCTGTTAGTCATAGGGAGAGAATCACATAGTGGGTAGCCTTTTGCGTCTGCCTTCTTTCACAATTGGCATTTTTAAGAGGCAAAAGGAGTTTCAAACCAGTTCTGTAAGCCCACTGTAGGGAACACAACTACACTGAAGACACCACTTACGGAAGTGGGATGGTGATAACCACGTCATTCAGTTCTAAATTATCTTCTTGTAGTTCATATTCTATATTGACATCACAGCCACTTCCACTTTCTGAAGGCCAGCAATTAGCTGAGGAGAAAAGCAAAGCCATCATTCCATAATTATTACAAAGAGTATAGAAAAGAAAGCAAATGAATCTTATCGACAGGCTCACATCTACAAAATTTTAATGTAAATTATATTTAAAACAAGTTCTAAAATTAAAAATTAGAGACTATGATTAAACACCAAATCCATTTTCAAAATCCTTCAAGGCTTCCATGGCCCACAATCTAAACTTAAAATAGGGTACTGAATTTCATCATTTATTTTCAAAGTCAGAATTACAGAGAGCAGGAGAGAGAGATATCTTCCAATCTCTGGTTCACTTCCTGATAGCTGCAATGGCCAGCACTGAGCCAGGCTGAAGCCAGGAGCTCTCCCACATGGGTGGCAGGGGCCCAAACCCTTAGGTCATATCCTAGGCCATTAGCAGGGAGTTGGGTTGATGGAAGTAGAGCAGCTGGGACATGAACCATACGGGATGCTGGTGACACGGATGGCGGCTTTACCTGCTATGCCACAATGCCTGCCCCTACCTAATGAGATCCCAATTCTTTGATTTGATAAAAGATCATTTTGTCAAAAAGAACTTCACTATGGCAATGAAGATAAGAGGGTTATAAGCCAGAGCTTTTTTTAGATCTCAGTGCAGAGTAGCTTAGTCCAACAGGCCAGAGGCGCTTACTTGTCAGTGGAATAAAAGATTCTTCTGTGGTTTGTAGTCTCCACTTTAGCACCCCTACATCACTGTTGACTGGAAATGACTTCTCCGGATTCTTCAAGCCAATTAGAGACTCTGCAGTGAAAGTTTTTTATCCACATTCGGATGGGTCTGGAATGACAAGGCAAACTGAGGTTCAGACACAGTAGACAGGAAACAAACTCTGGGGACAGCAGTTAAATCGCTGGTTGGGGGACCAGCGCTGTGGCGCAGCAGGTTAAGGCCCTGGCCTGAAGCACCGGCATCCCATATGGGCACTGGTTGGAGACCTGGCTGCTCCGCTTCCAATCCAGCTCTCTGCTATGGCCTGGGAAAGCAGTAGAGGATGGCCCAGGTTTTTGGACCCCTATACCCTCATGGGAGACCCAGAGGAGGCATCTGGCTCCTGGCTTCGGATCAGCACAGCTCTGGCCATTGTGGCCAACTGGGGAGTGGAGTGGACCAGCGGAAGGAGGACCTCTCTCTTTCTTCCTCTCTTCTCTCTGTGTAACTCTTCAAATAAATAAATAATCTTAAAAGAAGAGAAGAAGAGAAGAAGAAGAAGAAGAAGAAGAAGAAGAAGAAGAAGAAGAAGAAGAAGAAGAAGAAGAAGAAGAAGAAAAGAAGATAGAAGCGCCGGGGAGAAGAGCGGGGCGGGGGTGGGGGCAGGGTGGCCTCCAGGCCCGGGGTGGGTGGGGGGGCATGCTGTGGCTTCAGGGGCGTCAGCAGGAGTCAGGCTGTGGCTCCCACAGGCACCAGCATGCTGACCCCTGTCTTGGGGGGTCTTTGGAGCCCTGGCTTCCAGGGGACCCGGACTTTGGCTCCACATGTGGGACTGTCCCTCCAGCTGTGTCCACCCTCGGCTCTGGGCCAGCCAGGCTGGGCGCTCGACATCTGAAGCCGACAGGGTGGCTCCAAGCACCGCACAGGCCCCCTTCCTGGTGCCTGGCGCTTCCCAGCCGTTGTCCCCAAGCTGCCAGCCTGCACGGGCCCGGCGCTGAGCCTCGGGTGCAGACGGGGCGCCCGTGGGGCCGGGCCCCAGGCAGGCTGGGGGAGCATGGGAGCCTGTGTGTCCCCACCCCAGCGCCAGGCCCAGCTCGCCCTGCTGTCAGGGTCGCCCCGGGCTGAGGCCTTGTTGCCAGAACTGTGGGACCAGGCCCTGGCTCCACCTTCCCCCATCACGTGGGCTCCTGGGGGCAGGGGGCGGGGGGCGGGGGGAGATGGGCAGACCTGGAGCCCGCACCCCTGTCCTGGCCTCCGTGCACTAAAATTAAATTGAAAAAAAAAAATGCTGCTTGGAGACTGCAACAGCTAGAGTTGGGCCAGGCCAAAGCCAGGAGCCAGGAACTCCATCCAGGTGGCAGGGACCCTAGTACCTGGGGCAGTACCTGCTGCCTCCCAGGTACATTAGCAGGAAGTTCAATCAAGCACACAGTAGTCCGGTGCCGCAGCTTACTAGGCTAATCCTCTGCCTTGCGGCACCGGCACACTGGGTTCTAGTCCTGGTTGGGGCGCCGGATTCTTTCTCGGTTGCCCCTCTTCCAGGCCAGCTCTCTGCTGTGGCCTGGGAAGGCAGTAGAGGATGGCCCAAGTGCTTGGGCCCTGCACCCCATGGGAGACCAGGAGAAGCACCTGGCTCCGCCTTCGGATCAGCGCGGTGCGCCGGCTGCAGCGTGCCAGCAGTGGCAGCCATTGGAGGGTGAACCAACGGCAAAAGGAAGACCTTTCTGTCTCTCACTATCCACTCTGCCTGTCAAAAAAAAAAAAAAAGGCACACAGTAACCATGACTTGAATCAGGCACACTGAAATCAGATACAGACATCCCAAGTGATGGTTTAATTTGCTGCACCACAGCACCTACTCCAACTTTTATCTTAAATTTATTAATTATTTGAAAGGCAGGGAGGGAGAGGGAGGGGGAGGGGGAGGGGGAGGGAGAGGAGAGGGAGAGGGAGAGGGATCGTCTATCCACTAATTCACTCCCCCAATGGCTGAGATGGCCAGGGCTGGGCCAGACTTCATCTGAGTCTCCCAAGTGGGCGGCAGAATGGCACCAGTTACATCACACAAATAATTTTATGTGTTCTGTGGTAAATATAAGGAATGCTAGTTGAGACTGTGCTAGGTCTTTCACCTGCAGTTGTACCCCTCTCTTATCTTCATTTCTACATGAAGACGAATTCGGCCAAATTTGTCATCTGAGATCCTAAGCATGATCATTCCATGCAACTCCATATTCTGTAATCCTCCATCTCGTCCACAGGTTAGTGTGATCTTTTCTTCAATCTTCATATGTACACTATAAAGACAAAGTGATAAATTTGTTCAGAAAGGTAGAAGTCACAACAAACTCCCTTTCTTCAAGGATTAACAGTCAATAGCCATCAAAAAAAAATTTTTTTTTTTTTTAATTTGGAAGGCAGGGACAGATGGGAGAGTGATCTTGCATTTGCTGGTTCATTCACCAAATGCCTGCAATAGCAAGGGCTGGGCCAGGCCAAAGCAAAGAGCTACAACTCCATCTGGGTCTCCAACATGGATGGCAGGGACTCAACCACTTGAGTCGTCATTTACTGCCTCCCAGGGTGTGTAACAGCAGAAAGCTGGATGGAAAGTGGGTTAGCTGGGACTCAAACCAAGCACTGTAACATGAGATGCAGGAATCCCAAACGGCAACCCAACTGCTGCACCACACATGTATCAGAATTTTAAAACATTTTTTTGGTTATGAATTTCAGGGGCATGTGGAGGGGTAAGGTCTCAATATTTATCTTCTTTTTGTTTGACAGGCAGGGAGACAAAGCAAGAGAGACATAAAAAGAGTTCTCATTTGCTGGTTCAGTCTCTAATATGCACATCAGCCAGGGCTGGGCCAGGTAAAATCTGGGAGCAAGGAACTCAGTCCAGGCCTTCTATAGGGGTGACAGGGATCCCATCACCTGTTGCCTCCTGAGGTGCCCATCAAAAGGAAGCTAGAGTTCAGAGTTCAGCAAAGACTTGAACTCAGGCACTTGAAATGGGATGTGGGCATTCCTGCTAAAGCTTTAACTGATAGGTGAAACACCTGTCCCTAAAAACTTTTTAAATTTTATTTATTCAAGAGGCAGAGAGACAGAAAGAGAGAAAGCTCCTTCTGTTAGTTTACTTCCCAAATTTCCAAAACAGCCAGAGCTAGGCCAGGTTCAAAGCCAGGAGCCAGGAACTCAATCCAGGTGTCCCACATGGGTGGCAAAACCCAACTACTTGAGCCATCACAGTTGCTCCCCAGGGTCTGTATTACCAGGAAGCTGAAGTCAGGAGCCAGAGATAGGAACTGAACCAAGGCATTCCAAACATGGAACAAAGGCATTCAAACCTGCAGCTTAACCACTAGGCCAAATGCCCCTCCCACAACTTTCAATTTTAATGCTATTATATCTATCCAAATCAAAAACATTACACCCTTTGATCCAGTGGTTCTTCTCTAGAATTTATCCTATGGATCACTTCTCACCTATGTACAACACTGTACTAGATTATTCACTGAATAATTGTTTTGTAATAGCAAAAGTTTAGAAACAAACTTCAGTACCCATTAATGAGGGCTGCTTAATTAATGAAGGTATATCCGAGATCAGCACTGTGGTATAGCGGGTAAAGCCACTGCCAGCAGTGCTCCATTACTGATCCAGCTCTCTGCTGTGGCCTGGGAAAGCAGTAGAAGATGGCCCAAGTCCTTGGGCCCCTGCACCCTCCTGGGGACCCAGAAGAAGCTCCTGGTCCTGGCTTCAGATGGGCACAGCTCCGGCCATTGTGGCCATCCAAGGACTGAACCAGCAGACGGAAGACCTCTCTCTCTGCCTCTCCTTCTCTCTCTGTGTAACTCTGACCTTCAAATAAATAAATAATCTTTTTTTTAAAAAAAAAAAAAAGGGTATATCCAGGCTGGCGGCGCGGCTCACTAGGCTAATCCTCCACCTGCGGCGCCGGCACAGGGGGTTCTAGTCCAGTTGGGGCACCGGTTCTGTCCCGGTTGCTCCTCTTTCCAAGTCCAGCTCTCTGCTGTGGCCCAAGTACATGGGCCCTACACCCGCATGGGAGACCAGGAGGAAGCCACTGGCTCCTGGCTTCGGATCAGCGCAGTGCGCGGCCCATAGCAGCCATTTGGGGGGTGAACCAACAGAAGGAAGACCTTTCTCTCTGTCTCTCACTAACCTCTGCCTGTCCAAAAAAAAAAAAAAGGTATATCCATACAATGAATAGTAGAGAATTGTGAGGAAAGATAGTTAAAACACCCTTCTATTGAAGACACCTTCAAACTTTTCAAACTTTAAAAATATAACTTTCCACACATATCCTTTACTAGAATTTACCAGTTACCCATTTGTTTTATATTCGCATCTGGATATTTCTCTCTAAACATTACATACATTATGCATATATCTGACTGTTTCCCTCTCCCAGAACCATTAAGATGCAGGTTATATACTTGTAAATCATATCCCTTTATTCTTTTTTTTTTTAAGGTTTATTATTTATTAGAGAGGCAGAGGCAGAGGCAGAGAGAGAGAGAGGAGAATGAGAATCTTTTATCCGCTGGTTTACTCCCCAAAGGCGCACCAGACAGAGCTGAGCTGATCCAAAGTCAGGAGCCAGGAGCTTCTTCTTCTGGGTCCTCCCACGTGGGTACAGGGGCCCTAGGACCTTGGGCCCTCTTTAATTGTTTTCCCAGGCCATAGCAGGAGCTGGATCGGAAGAGGAGCAAACCAGGATTGAACTGGAACTCATATGGGATGCCGGCACTGGCAGGAGGCAGCATTACCTGCTGTGCCACAGCGCTGGCCCTGTCCCTTTATACTTAAATATTGTCAGTGTTATATTAGTAAGAATAAAGATACTCTTAATAACAACCACAGGGGCCAGCGCTCTGCAGTGCGCATCCATATGGGCACCAGTTCGAGTCCCTGCTGCTCCACTTCCAATCTAGCTCTCTGCTATGGCCTGGGAAAGCAGTAGAAGATGGTCCCAAGTCCTTGGGCCCCTGCACCCACGTGGGAGACCCAGAAGAAGAAGCTCCTGACTCTGGA